AGGTTTTGGGATGTGCAGGAGGTTTTGGGATGTGCAGGATGCTGCGGGGTCCACAGTCCCGCAGGATGTGGCGTGCTGTGACGTGTAGGATGCTGCCATGGGATGCAGGAAGCCACGGGATGCGGGGGGCTGTGGGACCCCTGGTGACACGGGAGGGGACACTGTGGGCTGCAGGATGCCAGGGGGTGCAGGACAATCCGTGGCCCCGTGGATTCAGGACCCTGCAGCAGAGCCACTGCCCCAGGAAACCTCTCAGGAAACCTCTCACCCCCGTGGGGTGCCGTGGGGTCCTCTGGGGTGCCGTGGGGCCGCGCTGGCGCCGCGGGGGCTGCAGCAGGACCCCCCCCTCAGCACCCCCAGCCCCCGGCGCTGCGCAGAGCTGATTTCCATGCTGGAATTAATGAGGCTGCCGGTGCGGTGACGGTGACGCCGGGGACATGGCGCGGGTCAGGCCACGTTGCCATGGCACTGCTCAGCCTGGCAGAGCTGGGGAGCGCTGGGGGGGAGCCCCACCATCCGCCTGCCCCCCACCCCGCACCCGCTGGGGTGGGTGCCCCACACAGCCCCGGCCCCATCCCAGTGCCCAGCTGGGCTGAACTGGGGGTCCCAGTATGGAGCCATGGCCCCTCAGGTTCCCATGGGTGCTGCTCCCCACCAACCCCCCCTCCCCCAAAGCACATTGGGGACCCCCCCAGAGCATCCCGGTGACCCCATAAAACTGGGGGGGGGTCCAACCTGTGCACAGCAACTGGGGGGGCGGGATTGGCAGCAGCTCCCCCCACGGCGGGGTCTGGGGTCCCCCCTTGGTGTGAGCAGCCCCTAACCTGCCCCCTGTGTCCCCCCACCTCCAGTTTTCTCCCTCCTGACCTTGAGCCCGCAGGAGGAGCCACAGCTCCCCAACCTGTTGCCATGGCAACTCTGCTTTGCATCACCGAGGGATGGGGGGGACGGGGGGGCCCCCATTTGGTCCCTGCTTTGAGGGGACAGCGCTGTCACCCCCATGGGGCTGCTGCTGGGCGGGGGGGAGCAGCAGTGACCCCGTTCTGTCACTGTCACTGTGTCTGGGGGCAGGAGTGGGGGGTCCCCAAGAGGGGACATGGCCTGTGCCCAGCCCTGAGACCCCCCTCAGGACCCCCATGGGGTACAGACCCCATCTGGCTGTCCCCGGGCTGTCACCAACCCTGGGTGTCACCCGTGTCCCAGCCGTGACCCCTGGGTGTCACCATCCCCATCCCTGTCCCCAAAGCTCCCGTCCCCACACACAGCGGGACCCCCATCCCCGCAGGGCTGGGGGGGGGGGGCTCAGGGCCCCCTGGCTGGAGGGGGCAGCGCGGGGTCCCCCCCTTCTTCTTCTTCTCCTCCTCCTCCTCCTCCTCCTCCTCTTCTCCAAATTGAAACCAGTTGTGGCGCAGGGGCCGAGCCGGAAAAGCGGCGCATTCCTTCCCTTAACTGCTCCCCTCGGACGGGGCCGGCGGGCGAGCGGGGCCGGGGCCCCCTGCCCGCGCCCCCCCCGGGCCCCCGGGGGTCCCCCCCGGTTGTGCTGCGAGGGGAATGTGGGGCGAGGAGAGCCCCGAGCTCCGCGCTGGGGACGGGGGGGGGGACAGAGGGTGATGGATGGGGACCCCAGCCCCGCTCTGAGCTGGGTCTGTGCTGGGCTGAGGGGACAACGGGGACAGGGGGTGATGGATGGGGACCCCCAGCCCCGCTCTGAGCTGGGTCTGTGCTGGGGTGGGGGGACAACGGGGACAGGATGTGATGGATGGATCCAGGGATGGATGGGGACCCCAGCCCCGCTCTGAGCTGGGTCTGTGCTGGGGTGGGGGGACAACGGGGACAGGATGTGATGGATGGATCCAGGGATGGATGGGGACCCCCCCAGCCCCGCTCTGAGCTGTGTCTCCCCGCAGAGCGCGGCCGCAGCGCCCAGCCCGGTGATGGGGAACCTGCCCCCCGGGGATGCCATGGCCGGGGGTCCCGTGCCCCCCGCCTTCTTCCAGGTACCGAGCCCTGCGTGTCCCTGGCGTGTGCGCACACCTGAGCCCCGCGGTTGTGGGGGGTTTTTTTGGGGGGGGGAGGCTGTTACACCCCCCTCCCCCATGGCACAGCCTCCCCCCATGTGCCCACCAGCCCCCCCGACTCTCCCTGAGGTCACAGCCCCCCCAAACCTCCCCATAAACCCTAACCCCCACCCATAACCTGTTG